CAAAAAGATTAGTCAGAGTGTTTACAGAAAAAAACATATTCAAAAAGCCAAACTTCACAGGTTTGCCAAGTAATTCAACAAAGCAACTGATATATATATTAAATATAATAATAAAGAAGTACAAAAAAAGAATAAAAAAGTATAGATACTATTACAAGATATAAAAAAGACATTTAACTTAGTTCCACTAGAAAGTCTAGAATAGGCCTTAAAGAAAGTCAAACTTATACAAAAAACAAGAAAATACATAAGTAATATTTTTTGTAAATAACAACTTAAAGTTATTACAGCCTATAGTTTAACAAAAGAAATAATAGCAGAAGATAAAATAAACCAAAAAGAGGTAATCTTATCACTAATTTGACATCTTTTTTATGATCAATTATTAGAAAGAATACAAGAAGATAAAACATTAGGCCATATAGTAGAACAAAAAATAACAGAAAGAGTATGCAGTAATAATGTTACAAGTTATAGCCAAGCAGCAATTGCATATGCTGATGACACAACATGGATTACAAACAGCAAAGAACAAATATTAAAAATTCTGAGCATTGCAAAAGAGTTTTTTAAAGCAAATAATATTAAAATAAATGAATCCAAATTAAAGCTTATAGTAATAAACACAAGAACAAAAGAAGAAAAAAAAAAAGTTCAAACATAGTAAAATAATAGAAAAACTCAAAAACAAAATTATAAGATCATTAGAAATTTAGCTAAATAGCAGAATAAGAGAAGTGCTAGTCTGTAAAAAAGCAAAAAGAATAGTTAGTTAAACAGTTAAAGATCTAAAATACAAAAGAATAATAATAAGCCAAATTATATATATAAACAATATAGTAATAATTCATAAGCTAGAATATTTCTTATAGCTAATAAAAATGCCAGAAAGAATAATTAACAAAATATATTAACTGTTAATATGCTTAGCTAAACATAAATGCAATATGATAAGAATATCAAACAATTGCACAATTGAGCATAAGAACTTAAATAATTGCAAAACACTAAGCCAAAAAATAACAACAAAGCAAATAAGAAGTCTTTTTTCAAGACTCAATAGACAGGATAGTTTGGGCAAATTAACAAAACTTAGAATAGCTTAAGAATACCAAAAAGCAGGCTTAACAGAAGACATTTAGAATAATAAAAAAAAAATAAAACTTAAGAAGTTTTGAAGAAATAACTTAGTTTGCTAAACAATAGCTAAAGCAAAAGAAATAAGAATAAACATCAAAACAGAAAAACTCTTATGGAAAGTTTATAGATATGATAAACAGATAAGAGACCTATTAGAAACAAAAACATAAATAGCAAGTAGTAGCACAATAAATAAATAAAAGTTATTATATTTAAACCAACTTATAGATATAAAATATGACAATCTTATTATATAGAGACAGCTTAAGAATCTTTAAGGTCTGTTATGCAAAGAAAAAAAAGTGAAATAGTTTAGCAAAATAGAAAAAAAGATGCTAAGAACACAAACAAGCAAAAAAATACAAAACTACTACAAAATAAGAAGATATAATATGCAGACATTAAAAGATTAAGTAATAAAGATGTCTAAAAACCAAAGAAAAAAAAATGAATCATACACAGATCAAAATACAACTAGCAATTTGACAAAGTAATTAAGAAAAAGAAGAAAAAAGTGTTAGCAAAGCATTGTTTAATGCATATAAAAGAAAAGAAAACATCAACAGAATTAAGTATATGCAAAGATTGTAAAAGCAGTTCAGAACAGACAACAGACAAGTATGAAAGATAAATAAAACAAGACCACAATATGAGAGTAATATCAGAATTACTAATAAAGAAAACTAATAATAAAATAAATGCAACATTAAAACAGATACTAGAAGATAAAATAATAGAAAAATAGAAAAGAGACAAAATTAAGTTATTATAAATAAGATAAACAGAAGCATTAAAAGTTGAACTAATTAGAAAACAAGGATAAATAATGTGATTACAAATCAGTTAGTAAAGATATTGATATAAAACAAGAAAAGAGACAAGAGAAAATACAGTTTTTATATCAATGAAGTATTATATAAAAAAAAAAAAACAATACAAAAAGAATAGATATTAGTTGGGTACAAGTAGAAGATAAAGAAGTTTGGCCAGAGGAAAAAACAATATTGAGACTTGAAAGTTGGCCTTTAGCAACAATAGCAAAATTAACAACAATATAGATGACAATCCTAATAGTGCCAGAAAGAAAAAGCATAAAAGTATTTACAGACAGTATTGCAGTATTAAAAAACATTAATAAAGCACTTCAAAATGTAAAAGAAGAAAAAACTCTGAAAAAGAAAAATGCAATATGAATAATAAACATTATAGATCTTATTAAGAGCAAAACATTAAGATAGAAATAATTAAAGTTTAAAGTTACAGTAAAAATAAGTGACAAGACTTCTATGTTAAATAATAACAAATACCAAAATTGAAACCAGTTGAAGAAAAACAAACCCAATATAAATATTAGAACCAAAAACAGAAAATATATTACATAATTGGTTAAGTTTTTAAAAAAAAATAAACAGAACAAAAGAAGTTCATTGTATATTAAGAAAACTTAACACAAGAAGAGTTACAACAATTAAGTGCATAATGAACAGCCTATCAATACTTAAGAAGCTAAACAAAAAAAGACCAGAAGTATACACAATAGCAGAATACCAAGTATGCCATGTTGAAGAAAAAGAAACTCAGACACATTTAGAAAGTTGTAATAAACAATAGAGTTTGTAAAAGCAAATTCAAAAAGTTGCAATAGCAACAACATAAAATGGACTCAAAAAAAACAAAAAAAAACAGAATTTTACTATAAGTTCTATATAAGGCATTATTTGAAAAAACAGAAGCTAAAGAAATCACAAACAGAAAAGTGCTGATAAAGAGACTTACAGTGCTAAAAGTAAGAAAAAGGCTTGAGTGATTTTTAAGCAAGCAGACAACACAGAAATGCATAGATATAATAACAAAAATAGTATAAACACCTTCTATAACCAAGTATAAAAAATATGATGTGAAAAAATACAAACTTAGAAGAAGATCAACATAATGAATAAAATGAAAAAAGGTGTTTATATGAGAGAAAAAACAAAAAAGAGAATAAAAAAAAATAAACAAGCAAAAAAAGAAAAAAAAAAAAACCCCAGAAAAAGCAGACTGAATAAAGAAAAAAGTTTTGAAGACAATAAATATGCTTATTACAAAAGAGGAAAAACCCTTCTGGTATAGCTTTAAGTAGTTAGATGAGCAGTCTATCTCTAACTAAGATAATGCAACAGGTTGTACTTAAGTATTATTAGAGTAGCTAAGTAATGCTAAAATTAGATATTGAAAAATTCTATATAATTGTATATATATATAGTTTTAAGAATCTTAATAAAATACTAATATCACCATTAATATTTAAAAAAAAAAAAAAATAAAATACTAATATAATGGCTTAAGATTAAAAAAATATATATATATTAAAAATTAAATAATACAAGAATATATATAATTAAAAAAATATACTAAATATAGTTAATTGTTTACAAGTGAATTAAATTATTTTAAAATATTTTAAAACACTAAAAATAGTAAATATAATTAAAATTATATATTAATATTTAAAAATTAGCTAAACAAAAAAATCAACGATCTCTCTCTCCTGACTATCATATTTAGAAAAGAGGGTAATTTTGAAAAGACAAAATAAACTTTACTTAGGGCTTTACTAACTTTAAAAACAGTAGCAGAACAGAAGCTCTTCCCCTTATTCTCAGAAAGTGTAAGATTTTTATCTTTGAAGTTTACAGAAACAAGAAAACTAAACTAACAACAACCTTTTCATCTAAAAAACAACTAATAAAAACAGAAATTAACTTCTTTCTTGAAAAGAGTACTATGGCAACAGAAATCACCTATAATGATTTAACTGTTTCTATACAAGATGACTTCTTGAATAGTATCAGCTGAAATGAACAAGTCATGTTGGAAAATGAAAAAAGACTTCTCAAAGAAAAAAATGATCAAAATAGCAACTCAGTCATGTCTAGCTCTAAGACATGTCTTGAAAAACAAAATAACAAAGAAAACAAAACAACAACATCTCATATAGAACAAAACAATATGTCTTTTGCAAAAACTAATGCAACTAACATAAATAAAAACAAAGAGGTCTTAAGTAAATTATGGTCAAGTTTATTTGCAAAAGTCAAGAGAGAGCAATTAACCTTCTCTTCATTCTCACCAAGAAACAACATAAGATTTAAAAATAATAATGCACTTATACTAGATATTTATAACCTCAATGGTTTATTAAATGAAATTATGATTTCTCTTTATGAGACAGCAGGATGTGATATAATTGCTGCTAAGCCACATGTAAACAGAGGATCTCACACTCATTTAGAGCTAATCTTTACTAATGAGAAAAAGCTCAAATACTATGCTACAAAAGGGTTGAAATTTATAATCATACATACTATAGACATATTCCAGTCAATTCTAGAAGATCCTTTTTGCCAGTCAAGATTAGAAATGTCCCCTTGGGTGACAAGGAGTTTATTTCTGAAAGAATTAAAAATGCTTTTGAGAACTTTGGTAAAATTGTCTCAATTAAGTCATTGTTAATAAAAGACACCCCTTACCTAACTGACCAGTAAATCATTACTTTTGAGACTACAGAAGACTCAGATTTAGAAAAAAGAATTCCTCAGTTCTATATTTTGCTTGACAACAAGATTATTACAGAATGATGTGCAGCTCCTAAACTTTGCTACTTCTGTGACAATAAGGAACATATTAAAAAAGATTGTAATCAGTACAAGGAAGCTATTGAACTTCATCATCAATACAAAGAATTTCTCTCTAACAAAAGGAAAGAAAAGCTTCCATTAGTAGATTTAGAAAACTTAAATGCAATTCAGCAAGAACAAAACATCCTTCCAAAAAAAATCGGTATCAAAGAACCTTAACAAGAAGAAACCTCACTAAATATGGCTATCAGCCAAGAAAGTGATAAAATAAACAGTACCATACTAGCAGAAAAGGATATCATTAGTTCAGTCAATGAAGTCATGAACAGCATTGAGAATGTTGCTTCTGCTGTAGAAAATTTAGCCACAGGTTCTTTTATGAAAATTAAAAAACCAAAAGCTCTAAGCACTTCAGTTGTGCTAATTACAAATGACAACAAGCTACAACTTTAATCAGAAAATCCAAATAATGGTTTTACTTTAATTTCACAAAGAAAAAAAAAAAACAAAAAAAGTAAAAAAGACCTTATAAATTAGAAAAGTGAAATAACCAGACCTGCGCCATACAAGAAACCTTGTAATGAAGCACAGAATTCACAGATCTGAAATCTGTACTACTCTGCTTTAATATAACTGGACAATTTAAATTTAAAATTGCAAGCCTCAATATAAAGGAGCTTAACAATCAACAAAAACAATGAAACACTTTAACTCTTCT